GGGCCTTGTGGCGTTGCTCCCCCTTCATCCCGTCTCGCCTCCGCAGGTTGTTACCTCGGCCCAGCCCCACTCTCGACTTCTGGTCGGGATGGCGGTTTGTCCGGGCACGGACAACCTTGCTGGAGGGTCAGGGGCAGGATGTCGGGTGTCGGCGGCTGTCCTTGGCCTGCGTACCCCCGCTCCTTCCCGTCTCAGCTTTGTCCAGACCTCCTTTCCATCCCGGCGTCAACCTCGGCTTCGTGCGGAGCTTGTGGCTTGTTTGGGGATCGAGGGTTGTGGTACAAGCCAGGGGTGGAGTGTGTTGCGGGGTCCTCGGCCCCTCCCCGTTTCGTCCTGCCTTCTTTCCCGACGGGCTTCTCCTTTCCGGACAGATCGTCGTCCTCGACGCAGTCGAGGTGGTCTAAATCTCGGGGTGGAGGGCCGTTGGGGGAGGGTTTTGGTCGTGAACGGGGTGGTGTCGGGTTGGGGGGGGGGGAGGAGGCAGTGCTTGCACCCTCGTTGCCCCGCTGCTACCCGGTGCCCTGCCTGGCCGCCCGAACGGGGGGTCGGACGGTCCCGTGGCAGCGGCTGAAGGCGACGACTTTGCAACTTCTTATTGATGTACCTGCTCTGATTTGTCGTTGTCCGGGTTGACGGCCCCCTTTCTGTTCTGGTCAACGGGTCGGTGCTATCCGAACGGCACCATATTGTAGAACTCTCGGCAAACGAATATCTTGGCCCTCGCAACRATGAAGAGCGCAGCGAAATGCGATACTGAATGTGAATTGTAGAAATCCGTGAGCCATCGATACCTTGAACGCACGTGGCGCCCAAGGCTTCTGCCGAGGGCACGCCCGCCTGAGCATCATCGGATTCCTCACGACCTCAGCACCTTCCGTTTCAGAGAGTGGTGGGGTTTGTGGTTGTGGCTTCCCTCGCTTCCCACTTGGAGAGCGTCGATAGCCTAAAGTGGAAGGGAATTGGAGAGCATTCCGMGCGGGCCTGTGGGGGCCGCAGCCCAGAGTGGTGCGTTTCGCTCCGCCCTGTTGTTGCCCTCCAGCACCCGTTTGTGGGTGGTGGTCTTCGTTTTCCTGAAAACGACCGTAAGGTCGTCCCTCAGGTTTGTGTGGTCGCCTCCTTCCATTCTCTCCCATTAGCTTGAGGTGGGCTTGCAGTTGGGGGTGTCGGCCGCAAGCTGTGGAGGTACGTCGGGCCTTGCCTTTTGATCTCAGGTCGGCCGGGAGCACCTGCCCAATTTAGGCATATAACTAAGCGGAGGAAGAGAAACCAATGAGGATTCCCTTGGTAGCGGTGAGCGAACCGGGAATAGCCCAGACTGAAAATCCGGGGGCTGTGTTGCTCCCTGAATCGTAGTCTTGAGAGGCAACCTCTGCAGCGGGCCGTATGCAGGTTCCCTGGAAGGGGACGCCGAAGAGGGTGACAGCCCCGTCGACCGCCGGACCCTGCTGCGCAACGAGGTGTTGTCCAAGAGTCGGGTTGCTTGGGAATGCAGCCCCAATTGGGTGGTAAGTCCCATCCAAGGCTAAATATGT